AGAGGGGACCATGTCCTCCCAAGTGGAGGGCCAGGCCGTGGCTCGCAGGGGAGAGGGCAGATGGCCCAGGGAATGGGTGGCGCTTGTTTTGTTTATGGCCAAGAGGAAGCAGAGGGGCCCAAGAGGGAATCTCAAGGGCAAGGGTGGGGGGCAGGAAGGACGACAGACCCCCAGAACCAGGTGTGCAGGGACAGCCCAGCCTGTCCCTCCATGGGGCCAGGGCAGGGCCAGAAAGACCAGCTGGGCCTTGGCAGCAGCTGGAGGGCAGAGCCGCAGGAAGGTAACCGTGGGCCCCAGGACACGCTCTGGCAGAGGTGGACAGCAGGCCGGGACTGTGGGATGGCTGGGGGCAGCAAGGGGCTGTCACCGGAGCCACCAGGAGCAGCAGGAAGCCCAGGCAGGTGTGGGGGTGGGGCAGACCTCAACACGCACAGTGGACACTGAAGAGGGTCCCGAGCGCCAGGCGCTGCAGACTCAAGCTCGCCCCTCACCCCACACACAGCCAGGATCTGGGCCCGCCCCCTGCCTGGGCCTCAGGTACAAGAGTGGGAAGAGGCCGAGCTGGGGCCCCTGGGCCGCTCAGGCCCGCCTGCCATGGCCGCCCTGGTCCCCTCAGCTCACGGGGGCCCTGGGCAGTGAAGGCAGGTGTGGACTCGGCCTTCTCAGGAGGGAACTAGTCTGTCCCCTGGGGAGTTCTAACAGATGAGGCGGACGTCCCCCTTGCCCCACACTTCAGACTCCAGCCTGCGGTCCCCCCAGCCAGCCCTGGGACAGCACGGGCCCTGCCCAAGCTCTCCATCCTCAGGGAGGACAATGGAGAAGGCTGCCCGCAAGGCCCCCACCCAGGAAGGCCAAGCTCGGGCAGCCACGTGACGGCTTCCGGTGGCAGGTCACAACAGGCGGCAGCTGGCTCTGAGAAAGGAGGGGAAAATGTGCCCAGAGAAGTCAAAGCGGTTTCTGGTGACTTGGCAGCTCCAGGGCCTCACCGTGTCTGTGTTAACCCCTTCCCTCCTGGAGGGCGGCCCGGCCTCCGCGCGGGGCCCCCAGGCCTCCCTGCATCCCAGGAACCCCACCCCATCCGTCCCCTTGAGTCCCCTCATGCTGAGAGGTGGTGACCCCATTACAGGAGCCCGTGCTAGCACTGATGGTGAGAAGGGGCATGGCTGTCCCACCCTCCCCAGCCACAGGCAGAGGCCAAGTCTCAGAGCTTCCTGCCTCTCTGACCTCCAGCTCGTCTTTCCAGCCCTGCCCCGGCCCCATGGAGGGGCAGGCCGGGTTGTCCCTGCACACCTGGTTCTGGTACCCATTTCCCCGTTCTGTGGGCTCTCTCTGCACGTTATTCTTTGCAAGAAGAAGCTTTTTAGTTTGATTCCATCCCACTTATGGATTCTTGGTTTTACTTCTTGCATGTGAGGAGTCTTGTTAAGGAAGTAGGTCCTAGGCTGACATGGTGACGGTCTGGGCCTACTTTTTCCTCTAGTAGGCACAGGATCTCTGTTTTAGTGCCCAAGTCTTTGACCCACTTTGAGTTTGGTGCAGGGTGAGAGAGAGGATTTTAGCCTACTTTGTTACATGTGGATTCTAATTTTCCCAGCAGCGTTTGTTGAAGAGGCTATCTTTTCTCCAGTGAATGTTTCTGGCACCTGGGTCTAGTATGAGATACCTGTATTTACGTGGGTTTGTCTCTGTGTCCTCTACTCTATACCATTGGTCTACAAGTCTATTTTGGTGCCAGTGCCGTGCCGTTTTTGTACTATTGCTCTGTAGTGTAGTTTAAGGTCTGGTAATGTGATATATCCTGCTTCACTCTTCTCACTAGGGATTGCTTTGGCTATTCTGGGTCTCTTATTTTTCCAAAGGAATTTCATGATTGCTTTTTCTAGTTCTATGAAGAATGTTGTTGGGAATTTACTGGAATTGCATTAACTCTATATAACTCTTTGTAGTGTGGTCATTTTGACAACATTAGTTCTGCCTATCCAAGATCTTTCCATCTTCTAATGTCTAATTCAATCTATTTTTAATTGCATCTGTTCTGTAAATTAAGCCACACGGCATGACAGCTGTTGGCCTGGGGTTCACCTGGTGCTCGATGTTGGCATCTAGAGGCGCTTTCAAGTCCACGGAGACAATGCAAAACAGCACCTGTCACCCAAGGGTCCTGAGCGTCTGCACAGGTCTGGGAACTGATACCTGACATGTCCAGGGACGGCCGATTCCATCACGACTGCAGAAATGTCCCCCGAGTGGCAGGGCATTCAGGACACAGTTCCCACGAGCCAAGACTCTGTCACGTGGGGAGCTCAAGGGGGTCTTGCCAGGGGGATGAAACCTGCAGGAGGACAGTCTGGGGGACCTTTGACAAGAAATGCAGGTGATGGGGAGTGACGTCGGAACCAGGGTGCTGCTGTAAAGCCAGAGGCCATGGTTCCCACCAGAGCCTCCCCAGGGACATGTCTCCATAGCCCCAGGGTCTCCCTCTAGGGACACCCACATAGAGCCCCCCCCCCAATCTTTCTCAGCGACTGCCTGGACAGACACTGTGGCCATGGGGACATTCTGCAGAGGCCACCCCGCCCTGGTGATGGAGAGGAGGCATATCCCAGTGGCTTCCGCAGGTTGGGCCACGCCCACCAGGTAGGGCAGTGCTATCAAGGCAGGGCCCAGTTGCTGCCTTCCAGAGGCCACCAGTTGTGAGAGTGCCAGAGTGGGCAGCTAGAGGGAAGCTGGTCAGGGCCCCAGGGCCAGGTGAGGGCTCCGGCCCAGGGCGTCTGCTCCCTTCCCAGGCTGATTCAAGGCTGGGAGGAGGACAGCAGAAGGGCCCAGCTCCACCCAGGTCCTCAGCAGCAGGGAGGAAACCCCAGGCTCTCCCACTCAGCGGGAGGAATGGGAAGGAAAGTTCCCTGCACGCACTCCCGAGGACTGAGTGGCCTTCGGGCTCTGCTGTTCTTGTTTTATGTGACTTGCACAGCCAGTGATCATCCTAACCCTGCGGAGTCGGTCATGAGCAGCCCTGAGCTTCACTGTCCGCTGGACGTCACTGTCCACTGGACATCACCTGCTGGCTTCCTTCTGCTCCTCCTCACAGGGGCCACATGGGCCTGGCCACAGGCACTTGGTGATGCTGAAGACTCTGAGGTGGCGGGAACTGGCGTTGGAACCAGGGCTGCTGCCGTAAAGCCAGAGCAGGCCTCGGCCCAGGCTCCGACCCGGGAGGCCCCCAGCACGCCCTTCTCACTCCTCCCTGAGCCCCCCACAGCAGGCGTCAGTCTCTCCCGTGTTGCTGTTTTTCCCCAACCACAGTAGAAAGTGGGAGATCCTTGAGAAAAGAGCAGCAGCCCCCCGTCCAGCCGTCCCCCAGCAGGGCGCCAGGGTGCTGCCTGGAGGACTTTCTTGTCACATCTGTTCCTTGCCCCTGTTGTTGAGGATCCTAGAGTTAATCCTGACCTGGAAGAAGAAGGTTTAGCTCTTTCACAACAGCCCCACCCACATGGACGGGCTGTGTCGCCATCAAACCCAAATTTGCTGCTGATACATGGTGAGCAGGTCCATGTCCCTGGACCCACCCCTGGCCGGCTAGTGGGGCAGAATGATGAGTCGTAGCTTGAGGAGCCTTTCTTTTTTGGCAATTGCATAGACTAGACATGAAAGTGATCCCACTGCATGGTTAGAATGTTAATCAAATCTGAAAATCCTTTTAATACCTAGCTCAACATACAGGGAGGAAAGGGGATGATGGTATCTCCAGGGACCAAAAGAGAAGCAAAGAATGGTGGGCTGCAGCTAGCCCTCATCTGCTGCGGGGCTGCACAGTCTCAGAACCCAAAGGGCTAGGTGTGAACAGCCCAGAGGGGGAAGTAAGATGGGATCCCTGTGAAGCAGGTAAATCCTTGAAGGAGAACACCTCCCCACAGCAAAGGAGATGGCCCCAAAGCATATCTGTCCCACCCTATGCTGGGGACAAAGAGAAAAATCTTCGCCTGTCTTCTTCAGGTCTGGAATTTGAATGTATGTGCTACCTACACAGCCCAGGACCCACAAAAAAAAGCATTAAAATGATCAGGTTGGCAATATGACCGAGAGTCTTACAAGCACAAAATCTCTCAGCAAAGACATTCTCAGCCCAAGCACAAAAGATTTCCAGATAGACCACTACTACAAAAATGAACTCACAACCCGAAACTATATGGCACTCAAGGAAACAATCCACCAACAGACCCAATAAACAGAGGAATTAGATCCCTAAGAACCTTGGGTAACAGGATTACCAGGTGACTGTTTTAAGCAGGTATATTTAGGGTGATCATAAACAAAAAAATCAGCACAAGACACTACAAAAAATGGGGGGGGAGTCAAATTTGGAAAGAATGGGGAACTTTTGGAAATGAGAAATACAGTGAGTGAAATAAAGGCCTCAATGGATAGGTTAACTTAGAGAGTAGACACAGCCTCATTATCAAGGTCAGGGCACTCAGTAACTGGAAGGGACAGTTGTTATTTGAGGTAAACTGTGCAGAGCACAGGAGACAACAAGGTGAGCTACCAACAGGAAGCTGCGATTTGGAGAGAATTAAGGAGTTCTGGACTGAAGACACATTCCTTAGAGCGCTGAACCTATTGTTCTCTGTCTTCTCTTTTTGTTGTCTGGGAGTCTGACTTGGCACCCCAGCCCTTCCTGAAAGCCCGAGGGCTACCTCTCCACCCCCAGAGCTGTGCTTGGCAGAGCTGCCTCCCAGCCACAGCGCTGCGTGCTCCTGCTCTGTCCAGAGGCCCCTCCTTAGTTAGGTGACACCTCTTCTTTCTCTTGCTGTAGCTCCTGGGCTGAGTCTCTAACTTCGTCTCCCCTCTCCCGTGTCCCACCTTTTGTCCACTTGTTGTTCTGGGAACATTTCTCATTCTTAACTTCCAGGCTCTGGTTTCTTCTTTTGAGAGTTTTAATTCTCTCATCGCATTTAGCATTTTTTCAACTTTTCTCTAAATGATCACACACAGCTACCCTCCTGGGCTGGTTTTCCTTTACTTAAGATACGATTGTACGGCTTTGAAAGTTCTCTCCTGATCATCCTTTGCCTGTTTTCTCCGATTTTAAGACCTGCTTGTTGGCATGGTTGGGGTGCTGTGCATCTTGGTCTTCCACGACAGGAGTACTCTGTGTCTGGTGGCTCCTGTTCACTCTGCAGGTGTGAGTGAGGAGTAGATAACTGGAAGCTCTGTGGGCCCAGGGGGGCTTATCAGTGGGAGAGTGTCAATGCAGGGAGACGGGCTCTAACTGGCTGATCTGTGGTTCACCTTCAGTGGGGCAGTGCTGAGAGAAGGGAGGAGACCAGAGGGGTGGGGTGGGGCAGCTTACACCAACGTGGATGGCCTAACTTAACTTTCTTCCACCTACTGAGTGCCTTCCCCAAACACCACTCCAGGTGCGCCTGGGAGTTCTGGGGTCCTGGGTCCAAGCACACTGCATCCAAACTTGTCCCGTGTGCTGTTGGAGGCGGGGGGCAGCAGAGCTCTGGTGTGAGCTGCTGCTGGTCTTTTCTGTTCCCCTCATTGTCTGGGAGGCTCCATAACTAGTGGTGGATTCAACAGCTGTAAGGTGACTCTAATTGCTATACATTTCTAGATGCTTGTTCTCAGCTTGGGCATATCCCCTGTTGAGAACCAAGAATAAACAGTTTGCAGAGCCTTACTGCTTCAGGCACCACGTGGTCCCCGTCAGGCCCATGGTGGTCCACAGGGGGACTACCAAGCCAGACCCTGTCAGAAGGCATCTCCTCAGAGGGGCCGTGAGCCTGCCAGCTCACACCTCGGCCCATGACCAGAAGGGAGACTGCAGCTCCCCTCCTCCTGCCAGCGTGTGGCCACCTGTCCTCGACAGCTCTGGATCTCCCTCTTTTCCACTTCAGCTGCTCTCTGAAGGCAAGGGGGGCGTCCTGCTGAGTCCCTCCCATGGCCACCCAGAGAGATGGAAAGGATCGGGTGGGAGTTCTCAGCGGCCGCCACTGCGCCCCTTCTCCTTAATGAGGGCCACCTCCCCGCCATCCCCACCCTGCCTCCACCAGCTGCCACCTCACCTGGGTCTCGTTTTTCCAGTAGCACAGCTGGTGCAGGCAGCAACGGGAGGGGACAGAGGCGGCTCGGAGAGGCCTGTACTTCTTGGTTGCCGCAGAGGACGTGGCTTACTGTAACCTCCAGGCCCCATTCCAGGTGCCCACATCTGGCCCTGATGTGGTGACATACGAGGGGGTCCCACTCTGGAGTAGCCCACCCGCTCTGGGGTGGCTGCTGACCAGTCACGCTCGGCTGTGGACTTCTACCTAACTGGGTGCGGGTCCTTTGGTGAGGGTGAGCGGAGGGTGCGTCCCCATGTCCTGCCTGCCCACGCCCCCCTCCCCACCCAGCATCTAAAAGCACAGGGCCACCACTGAAGATGGGACCCAGCCCTTCCCCTCCGATGGCCCCAGGGTCTCACTCTGAACCACCACTACAGCTTCACCACCTCTGTCCAGTCTCCAGGCAGACGGATGGTCGTCCTCCTGGAACCTTCCAGAATCTCCTGGGATTCCAAGGTGGGGCCCTACAACCCGTTCTCCTAAGAACATGCACAGACACGCTCCATGCACAACTTCTGGGTGTTCAAGGCTGTTTGTGGGCTCTCTATAGAGGACCCTAAGAGGGAACCCCTTGGGGGACCCCTGTGACTGTGACTGCAGTTGGTAGGCCACCTTTCCAGAAAGGTGTCCCTGAGTGTCCTTGGGACACTGGGGGTGGTGTCTGAAGCCAGATTCAACCTGACCAGTTAGCGCCTCCTCCCTGGCCTCCACGGTGACTTTGGTTGGGCCCTGCACTGCAGGCAGAGGGGCCAGGACCCTCATCAGCTCTGCGAGACCATGGGTCCCTCCATGTGCCTTGATCACATCCCCTCCAAAAAGGGGGAAATGCTGCCCACCTAAAGGTGGGAGGCCGCCAGCTCTCCACACTGCCCAACTGTGGGAAGTGCGTCTGAGGACAGTGAGCCGTGTATGGCTGGGGTCCTGGGGTGGACCACGGAGAGGAAGGAGCTGTCCTTCTACCGGGCCTCAAGCAGAGATGTGAGCTCCGAGAGCATCGAGAGAGATGATTTTCTCCCCGTGAGTGATGCCAGCTTGGAGAAAGGGCAGTGCTGGGAGCCGGACCCAGCCACCGACTCGGGCTGGCACAGGACATAAGGCTTTCTCATGGCTGGGGCCTAAACAGTGGCCAGCAGCACACGAGGGGGATGGGCTGCCCACCCAGCGCTTCCGGCCTCTCTGTAGCAAACACCATCTCCCTGTCCCGAACATGAACCCTGTGGATGGACAGATGTGAAGGAAGCCCACGGCCCTCACCAGCTGAGGAGGGCAAGGGGGCGGGGCCAGGCGGAGTGCTAAACTCCTGACCACACTGACAGGTAATTACAAAGGATGGGAGGGAGGGAGGGAGGGAGGTTTGTCCGGTTTAACACAAACTTGCCCAATCACTAGGCTGGATTTCAAGCCCTTGGCCACCAACCTGTGAGCTCAGGACAAACGTCAGCTCCTTCCTCCCCTACCTCCTCCTCCTCCCCCTCC